GGTATCAGAGAATCAATGCTAGAAGCAAATAAAATAGAGCAAGTGCTTAACTATCGAAAAGCGTCATTTCCTACAAGTGTTTCAACTAGTTTTGTCGCCCATTGTAGTTCCAATCCACTACCTAGAATAGTTATACGAATATGGGTTATTGTAACTCGTTCGTTCGCTCGTTTTCATGCGCTTCGCGTCAGCTTTGGTTTGCTTGTTGGATAGCCGGTGTCCTTTGTGACTGCCTAGAGTGATTACATTGGTTATGCGGGTTTTAAGACACCCAACTGAAAACTGCCCTGAGCCACAGGAAAAGTACGCAAATGTGGCGGAGTTTTTCAAGCGTTATTTCATGATTTGTAGTACCGCGGAGAAAGCTTTCTCAGTCGATGTCAGTTTTCGCCACTCAAAGTCAACGACATCGTTGCCATCACATGTAAAATGTCATCAAACAATCGTTCTATTTTCTTTTCTACACGCGGGTGTCTACCTTCGGAAATTCTCTACAAAGGCTGATTTTATGTTCTTTTTCCCCTGAGTGGATCATTGCTAAGCCACTTTCTGGCAAATTGAATTTGCAACGACAAAGTACGGAGATGTTATAAAGTGCTTTCGATGACGGTCTTCTCCGCAGCCGTTTTTTAGCCCCGGGGAACTACCATAAAAAAGGACGGGGTCCTCATCGTACCTTTTAGGGGTTAAAGAGCGGTTTTGCTACCTCTTAGGGTGTTAAGCCTCAAAAGGACCACAACAGGAGCTTTTGCGGCACCTTTTAGGGTAAAAATATTTCAGGAGATAATGTGTCAACCCCGTCCATTTTATATGGGAATCCTCCCCCNCACCAAGAGCTGCGAAGGAATCTACTGAATATGACTGCTCACAGTTTACTCACCAGGGAGGTCAAAGGTAACTGCGTACTCCTCCACCCTCTCCTCCTCAGTTCCCTCCAAGTCGTCATCTGTTTGACAATCATCACTAGTCATATCTTCTCCACTGTCCCCTCCTCTATGGACACGAGGCTCTAAACTCGTCAGTTTGGCTGTTAAAACAGCTCTAAAAGAGAGCAAGAGAAAGAAAAACGTCAAGTTAGAGTAAGATGCTACTGTTTTCACCAGATCCCCATCTTAAATGAAACGATCGAGAGACTCAATCCACCTGGCGGATTGAACATGGATCACTTAGCAGGTCGGCCTGTTCGACGTGATCAACACCACGCGCCTATTCACAAGCTATAAAACAAATGTACCACGTGATGCAACTCCTGCAGCCGTGTTCCAGAAATAGATTTGACTTCATGTCCGCGGAAACCCCTGTTTCCACGATTTTCGCAGGTTTCCAGCTGGTTGCTATTGTACAATGACTGTATTCAAAGGGTTTAGACAGGATTCTAGTGCATTTAAGGGACAAAACTAACCTTTGCTCTTGAAGTTCGAACAGCTGCTGGGTGAGGAGTCGTTTCTCCTCTTCCTCTCCTTCCAAACCATTTTCAACTAAGCCATCATCCTGCAATCGGACACAGAATATTGGAAATCAATACAGAAATCTTCTATGAAACGCACAGATTTGACATACGTTGTACAGTGATCATAAAAATGCAATTAAAGTCACACCAAAGTCATGGTAATATATCAGTTACGGTCACACAATAAAAAACAAACAAACAAACAAACAAACGAAAACAAGCACATAAAAAAATGCGACCACACCCTTTGCAAAACTGTCATATACATTGATTAAAAAAAAAGAAATAGACAGACACAAACTCAAATCACTACAATTATACCACAGAGTCACACACGACGAGCCTTAAAACAAAACCACAAGCCACCTCAGAAAGAAGAAACACTTGCGTCCTCCATATCAAACTTACTTCCTCGTTGAGGTGCAACATCGACAAGCGCTTGTGAGCTGTGTCCGACGCGTTATCGATTTCCCGGATGTTGTTAATGGTTGCCCGGATCTTGGATAGCTGACCGATAATTAGGGTTTCTAGACATCTAAAAAGATACGATAAAAGGTAGAAAATTAAATTTCGATCGCCTTTATAAGGTATCAAAGCATCATAATAACAATTAAGAGGGAATCCACCAGAAGTTCGGGTAATGAGCGGACAAAAACTTTGTACCAAGATTATTTACATTGTATTGCAAACTTCTGTGCGACTGATTTAATTATCTTCTCAAAAGAAATCATTTCTAACAACACCAGATGTCGAAAACAAATTTTGAAGTTCGCATGAAACACTTGAAAGTACTGATGAAATGACACTGATGATAACATTTTGCCTGTGTTCGCACAGGTTCTCTGGACTTTGAAATTTATTTTCTCGAGTTCCCATTGGAAATTGTTTTTGGTGTTATTTCAGGCATCTGTTTAGATCTTTAGCTTCTAGAAAATGCAAAAAGGACTGTAATATACTTAACATTATTCTGGTACAAAGTTTTTGTTCGCTTAAAACTAAAATTGCTCGATTTCCTATCGGATTTCGTCTTAAATCGTAAGAAGCGTGCAATATCAAATTTGGAAAGATTGAACCACATTACATATTATCACAGGATTTCAATTTGCTTGGTTTCAACAGACGAAACGAAACATGGGGTGCTTACCATTTGTCAGAATAAACCGGTCGGGATGACCGTTGTATAATGGTAAGGGTTTTTCCAAAATCAGCAAACCAACCAAACGAGATGGCGCTTACCATTTACAATTCAATTTCTCGTAATTGTTTTCGGCTGATGAGAGACTGGAAACTGGAAAATATACCAAATGGTAAGGAAATTTCCGCCGTTCCATTCCGAACGGAAAAAGAGGACTACCTCTGAAGGTAGTCTACAATTTCCGAACGGATTTTCCTGGAAATTACTGTTCTATTTGACTTTCAACCGAAATTTCCGGATTTTTTTGCTAAATGGTAAGCACACATGTACACAGATAAAGCTGTCTTAAAAACAGTATCATGATTGTTTGCCTGTTTGTCTGTTGATGTGTAGTTTGTTTTCTCTAAGTTATTCTCCTAGCGAATATTTTGCGGAATTTCCTTTCCTTTCAATTTGCAATTAAATTTGTATTCAAAAAGAATGTTCTCGTTATTTTGGGAAAATTGTAAACTGTTATCGTTTGAAACTTCTTTTTGGAATCAGCTTATGGTAATAACATATGAGACATAAAGAAAAAAAACTAGTTTACGGAAGTCCAAGCTAAAACGAAATTTATGCCGCAATATGTGCACGTGCTCATGTGTTTTGAAGTTGAACTCGAGCACGGTTTTCTACACGTGGTGGTGAGCCATACGAATCTCACCACGTGATTCTCTCCATCTGCCCGGAGAACTGATAAGCGTACAGAGGACGGGGGGGCGGGGGAGGGGAGGGGGAAGTAAAATCTTTGTGGCTACACATTAAGGGCACAGGAGGTCAACGTCAGTCTTCTGAACCACAATGTTCTGAATAAAGCTCTTCTTGGTTTGACTTGCTTTCAAGAAGAATCAGCAAACGCTTACCTCGTCTGTTTACCCACATCTTGCATGCTCTCCAACGCGCTCATTCCTGGCGGCGTTTCCATGATACACTGTGCCCAAATTATAGCCAGGGCATTCGCGTTCATTAGATTCTCCTCCTGATGCTGGGATATTCTGCAGGCACAAGGTCACTTGATTAACTTTCCTTACTCCGAAATAATTTGCTGGTCCATGAAGATAAAATCACCATATTGTGGACTGAGAAACACTGGTCATACGGCTGTTTCGATTAAGCAGTGTAAAAACGTACGCCGGCGACAACGACGGAAGAAATTAACGGTAAATCACTGCTTCATCGAGGTTTACGATGTTTTAGCTCGAAGAAAGCATGAACATGCGTTCAAATGAAACAGCTCAGATTAAGCATGAATCACTCACCTTGCAAGATGAAAGACCAGTCTTTCAAGAGCGTTTCGATTCGCTCGAGGCAGTTTTTGTACCAAACTGTAGAGAGCTTGAAGACGCAACTTCTCTTCGGTTAGTTCTAAAAAACAAACAAGAAAGCAGTTTTTTCACAAACCATTCAATCTCAAAAAGTCACTCACAAGACGAACTTAACGCTAAGAGGATGCGAAGTATTAATATCAATAATAATAATAATAATAATAATAATAATAGTTCATTTATATGGCGCACACATCCATTATTTGCCCAAGGCACTTTGCAAAACTATCCCTAAAAACTACAATTTTACTCTAGGAAAAAAACTAGCGAAATACCAAAAAAAAAAAAAAACTAGAATCTAAAAAAAAACTAAAAATACGAGAAAGAGTTACTCTTAACCCTTTAAGCCCCCTTAGTGCCATATGGCACAAAATGTTAGAATAAGCTTAATATTTGGCCAATTCGTTTCCAATTTGGACACCAAAAGGATCTTTGAGAGATCTTCACATTGGAACCATAAAATCATACCTTAGTCCTGTATCAGACTTGCTTAACCACCACTCAAGTTTTGAAACTTTTGCGCTTTACAATTTTACGGTCAAGTGAATATCTGATAAAAATCTTCACACCCAGAGCTGCAAATTAAGCTATTGTTTAGGGGTATACCCAATATATACAACGAATAAGGTATTTTTGACCGTTTTCATTTTTTTTTTTACTTTGCAGACTCCTCAATTCAATTTGTGACATCTAGTATGTCTGTTGTGGTGTTTTAGGACATACCCCAAACAATACCTTTCAACTAGTATATTACTTGTGGTCTTTCGATCTACTGTTATCATTTTAGAAAAATAAGGTTTTTCTCCGGGGCTTTAAGGGTTAATAAATTTAGTAAAAAGGAAGGTCTTGAGTTTTTCCGTGAGTGACTGGGCGGAAATGAAAAGAAGACCAGAAAACACAAAGCAACATGCAAATTCTAGTTAAACTGACCTGCAGTGCGAATAAAATCCATGTAGAAATCAGCCGCGATAATAGGCGGCGACAACTGCCTGAAGAACAGTTTAAGTACCCCAGCTACCACGTGTACACTGTACTCCTCTAAAGACAAATTATCAATTCCTGCAAAGGAATGACATTAATAATTACTTACCTCCAAATGTTGGAGGGCTTCTAAATAAGTTTGTAACGGCTGTAGTAGCAAAACGAAGGGACAGAAACAGTCTGTCTCCTGTTTCAGACAAGTTGTTGAGCTCGAAGGTTTTTTTGAGAAGATGCTGGACTGCATGGCGTAAACTAATGGTACAACGGTGCACGCTCACGTGACAAAGTTGGGAGTATTCCGGTCAATTTGTGATCGCATGGAAAGAATCGGAAATTCCTCGAACCTGAACGCAAACACTAGCACTTGCCCCCTACAAGGAAAATCTGCTCACCCACCTTAACTCGTAACTTGTTATCGCAATTCACGAGTTAAAAATCAGCGTCAAATCTAAATACCGTAGAATTCCGAAGTTTTTGCGGTATTCACTAAAGAATGTCACTCACCTAACGTACAAATGTCGTTCTTTAGCTTTTTAACAGCTACGTTGCTTGGAGATTTTCTATAAAGGCCTTCAGTGTACAAACCTTTGAAAGAAGAAAGAAATTAGCGTGACCGGAGGGAAGAAAACAAAGCACGAAGCATGCACTAAAGTCACCTCAACAAAACATATCACAACCTTAAAGGAGCTCAGTCACAATATTTTGAGTTATTTTGGCCAAGTACAAATTACCTTTAAATTGAAGGAAACCTGAAAACAACAGTTTAATGAGATAGAAAAACACCAACGAGATACTAATAAACCATAGAGGAACACGGATGGTTAAGAATGGAGAAGATTGATACGGATTACAAATGACGAGTTTGAAAAATGTAGGCTAAACTTTTCAAGATGCGCAAACCGTGACGCAGCTGCCAAAAAATGTCAAGGTCAACGTTATTAAGTAGGGTGGCCCTTTCAGCTCTAGGCTGGTATCAGCAAGGCTTCCTGCGTCACGTATGACTACTACCTTAAGTTTCGTTAACAAAAAAGAATAATCAAACGCTGCTTTAACCCAAAATAGCTGTTCACTTACTTACTCGCGGTTTTAGTCATTTGACTTGTTTGTTTGTTTGTTTGTGTAATTGCTTTCTAATTCGCCCGTCCATGCACCACAAGCAAAACTTCCCAAGAGGATTTTGACAAAAAATATATATGATTTAACGTCTAATGAAATGACTTACCTCTTGACTCAATGTCTTGAATGAGTTTGTCAACTAGCAGCGGAACAGAGTTTTCGCTGGACACAAGACTAGATAAGTCACCTCCAAACAACTCCGTCTGAATAGGAAGAATGAATTTGTGTTAACAAAACAACAGTCCACTCTAACAGGGAGTCTAACAACGTCGAAGCCCGGCACAGTATCATTAAAATCAGAGGAGCCAGATGAGTAACTGGTGCCGGCGCCTTACTGCGATTTCTGTAACATGCAGCGAAAAGGGTTACTGCTACTTCCCCCCGGGTAAAATGCCAATACACCACAGTCTCCCCCCCCCCCTAACTTCCCCTCTCCAAACAAACAAAAACTCAATTTGATGGTAGTCATATTTATGAATGAACTTATTGAAAAAAACGTCAGACTCGGTAGATGTGAGTCTTTACAATCAAATCCTGAATGAAAGCAAGATGAAGACAATTTTACATCCACGTAATGTACAATGTACAATCTAAAATCTAAGTACGACAATGAATACAATTTAAAATCTACGCAAGTTTAAAAAGACAACCGTTCACAAACAAGTTTTTGAATATATAATATATAACCCTGGGTAGAGGGAGGAACAGAGAGAGTGAAGTGTCTGGCCGAGAACACTATGGCACAATCGATGAGTCCGGCCAGAGCTCTAAATAAGCTGGACACGATCTGGAATCCAAGGTAAATCCCCTAGGCTCCTGCGCTTCAGTACTGCATCCCTTTACCGAGTCGTTTACGCTGAAGTTTCGTTTTCTGGTGATGAATGGCAGACGCGAAGTATATGTTGATCAATACCTAGTAACTGCTTACCTTTCCCTTTGATTTGTTTGCTCCTTTCCGACATATGTTTTGAGACTTGGCATGACACTTTTTGTGACAAGTAAATCTACACTCTGCAAATAAGCACATTCAAACAGCAATGAGGGTAAAATTGCATGGTAACTGTTCTCGGAGCTGAGGACAGCAAATGCCTCTTTACAACATAAATGAGTGAAGATGCTTTCAATCCGCCGGCTGTCTACGCAAAGGTAATCAGAACAAAGTGTCCCATACCGAAAGGGCTAGTAATGGTCTCCGTAGCATTAGTCGACTTAGAGTATTTCTAGCCCCCTCCCCATAGGTGGGATGCTAGTCCATTAAAAGGTCATTCCAGAGTGGGACGTTGAGCTGGTACCCATTTATACACCTGGGTGGAGAGCGGCACTGTGAGCGTAAAGTGTCTAGCCCAAGAACACAACATAATGTCCCCGGCCAGGTCACGAACTAGGACCGCTCGATTCGTGGTCAAGCGCACTAACCATGAGGCCACAGTGGCTTAGTCACCCACAAATATCTCAAATAACTTGTCAGATCAAGAACGTAATGGCATGCGTAATAACGTAATAATATATAATCATCAAACCGCACGAAGCGACAATGAAGGACGTCATCTTTCCAGAAACAGCTAAGGACTGACATTTTCTGTTGATTACCTTGGCAGACGAATCCTTTGTCGAGTCCCCAGATAAACCCTGTACAGTGCTCACAAAACGTTGGAATACTAAACTGCGTTGTGGCGAACTTGTGGCCGTTAAACTCCTGCAAATGAAATGCAGCCATTTACACAAAGCAAAACGAAATGCAACGACAAAAATAAAAAATAAATAAATAAATAAAATTAAAAAAAAAAACACATAAACGAACAAACAAATAATTTTGTATTAGACGACTGAAGTGGTAAACTAGAAAACATTACTATTTTGCCTACAGTGTGTTTCTTAGACGATTTTTAACCAGGGATAAACAAGTCGGAAACTGAACGCCGCGTGAAATTTTAAATTTAGCTTTATTTTCTTGAACAACGTCGGCGTCCAATACTAAGTTCCACTATGATCTTTCGAACGTGTTTGTCGACTCGGTCTATAAACACGCAAAAAAGAAATTGGCCAATATCTCGCCATCTGACCTCACACTTTGTCACAGTTCCTTCTTCCAAAATGAAACGGTACCAGTGTTTTATCGACGTTATCAGAAGATGTACATAAGTATAACGATAAAAAGAAGATACTAGACGCTGTTATTCAAACGGTTGATATCGTTACCCACCGATGACGAATCATTTTCCAGTGGATAAGTATTCCGAAAACAAACGGATTTATCAGATGTATAACGTTACCCATCCCTTGAACAACCAGGTCATGCTGTTATCTTCGTGATCCAATTTAAGCAGCAGCAGCAGCGCCAAAAAAAGACAACACTACTCTTTGTACTTATCAACACGATGACGTTAAATAGTTATTGGTTAAAAACTAAAAAGCGTACATGGTACCCTAAACAAGCAGCAATATGGGCCAACAACAAATAATGATTTCTTTCTACGTTCCATGGCGCGACAAAGACGGATGATGATGATGAAGATGACGAGGAACGCTCACAAATAAGGCGAATAAAAGATGGTCTTTGTTAACTGGATTACTGTGAATACGAACAGATTTACTGATATGTATAAGGAGTGTATTGCACCAGGCTATCTATTCGCAAGGTAATGGACGAACAAACCAACGCCGAACGAGAAAAACACAGCTATTGTTTTCTTGGAAAATAACGCGATAAATAAATATATTGCTTTTTCAGGTTGGTAAAGAGGGAGTACGATGCGTTCGACAAATTACCGCACAATTACCACTGTACTACAGAACGCTAATCGTGAAATCATCATAATTTTAGCGGAGTCTTAATCGTGAATGAAAAGCAAACAAAAACGGCCTGTAACAATCCAATAACAACACATTGAGCAAGTCAAATCCATGTTTGTTCGTTCAACGAAAATTTTTTTTTTTCGTTCCAGTCAGATAGGATAAACATACTACCAGAAGCAAAGTTTTTTGTTTTGTTTTTTTAGTATTTAATCAAACAGAAACTTAAAAAACCTTCGACTGAGCAACGAAACATTACAGACCCGCGATCAAATTGTCGGCAGCAATTTCACTAATAGAAAATAGGATTATAATCGAAAGACTGCCGACGTTGCTTTCATTACCAATGTTATATAACTAATTAGGGAAGTAGTTAATTGGCGACAGACCTACCACGCCGTGTTCTAAACTCGATGTACGATTCCTAATTCCAATACTGGACCATCTCCTGAGTCTGTTGAGAGGTGGACCACTCGGAGATGCAAACGCCATGTCAAAACACGGCGAAACGAAGAAATGAAAAAACAAAAAAAAAAACAAAAAAAACAGACAACCTTGCCGACTGTCGCCGTCATAGGATTCAACGCGCGTTCTCATTGGTTGTTCATAATTTGTGCGCATATTTCAAAGCCGCTCAATTTTCTGTCAAATAACGTGTTTCAGCGTAACTTGGACGATAATAGACGCAACGTTTACAGACTTCAAATCAAGAAAACAAGGAAATGAAACAATTGAAGGGTAACACAAACACCTTTACATATGATGCCGAGAGGTAATACAAAATTTAGTTTCTCGATGTACTGAAGAACTCAGTGGCCGATTTTTAACATGTAAATATGTGCAGGGAGCTTTACACTTTTCTTAGACGAGGGGCCACAGACTAGGGGGAATTAAATATATGACCACAGGGTATATGGAGCGATAATCAATTTATATCCCACTCGTATCCCAATTTTCACGGTGGCCAGTTTGGTGTTCCAAAGAACGAAATTTCTGGGAATGCATTCACTTCTGACTATTAAACTTCACTGTTCTATGGGAACACCACATGGGCGCCGTGAAAACGCTCTTTAGTAAGAGAAATTTGGGAATGTAATCATCTTTAGTTCTAAAATAACTCGCAACAGTCATTGTCTTGTTCAAACCTTCTTAAATACTTCGACCCCAATTAAAACCAGATATCGCTGTTCCGTTGGTGGTCAGATTAACGGACTTCCACTGTGTATTTATTTGTTCAGTTCATCTCAATCTAAAAACACTTACTGTGAGTTCCGAAGACTTCCGTTTCTTCAAATGAGGTTTCTTGTGATGCTAAAGTAAAGACAAAACCAAACGCTTAAAATGACACTCAACTATGGTAAATCGACTACTCTGCCCTACTGACTTATCGAACGAGGACTCTTCATGGCGTCCTTGTTTTATCAAAGCAAATAAAGAACACGAGACAAACAAGGAAGGAAGCGGACACGGAGTACGGAGAAACGATCCCATGAATTTTCAGAAATAACTGAAAAGAAGGCTGTTAACAGTATTGCTATACTTTCTTTCTCCGCGAAAAGCCTGCTCGCAGACTAACGCTAGTGGTGTTTGTGACATGGATTCACAGGGAAGCCAGTTATCTTGTACACAACCTCAAGTTCAGTTTTGAAGTATGGCCCATTTATTGTGTTAGCTTTCGAAGAGGTAGTATGGGCAATCAAATGATTTCGAGTGCAAGTTGAAATAAATAAGGCAACCAAAAGTAAATTTTTCAAAGACTAAAGAAATTGCACTGGTAGCCTTTGAAAATTTTGGAGTGCTCACTCATATTCCAAATTACACGAGAAAACTCACTTGATTTCTTCGTAATGATAAACAAGCAAAAACTTTCTGCCCTGTTAGGGATTAATTGACGTGCTCTCAGCCAGTCAGCATGCTGAAATTTTTGCAGGTATATTATTAACGCTGTAATTTACTTTGGGAGAATTTGAATCGGAAAGTCTCGTTTATTTGCCTAAACAGATTTTTACAAAAACGAACGGCAACAGTGAAATAATGGTTCGCAACAAAAATTGTAGAATGAACAACAAATTCAACATCGTGCCATACAGCCGCAATATCATTGCAAAGACAAGGAAAAAGCCGTAGGCATCAATAAATCTTTTGGATAAAAATATTGCGTCCCGGTGAAAATCGAATACAAAACGCCTTTCCATCGGTGACGCAACAAATATGTGCTATGTCGTGAAAAGCTCAAAGCGCTGAATTTCTCAGGACTGTTTTTTTTTTCTCTTGCACTTTTTCTTAAGCCTTTTTAGCCTGCGCGAGAGGTGATATATGCCAAAGTGTAGTGAGTTCTCCTATGAGTAGTGATTTTTCTTCAGTCTTACCTTGGCCGGCTTGGTTTCTGGTCTTGTTCTGCGCAAAAAAAAAAAAAAAAAAAAACAAGAACGAAGAGAAAAATCAACACATTCAGCTTTGAGAACCACTTGAAAATTAGAAACTGAACAAGAAAGTATCCAAGCTAAGGAAAAACTGAAGAACTAAACGATCGATAAACAGCTTTTTTTTCTTCAACTCCAGCGTTTTAACTTGAACGTCCTACCTCCATTTGTATGCAATTTCTTTTTCAACTTCCTTTTGGTTCACTAGCATCTTTTGCGTGACATTTGTTTTTAAGTCTCGTTTACTAGCAATGAGTATCAGCCTCGTCTTAATGTCATTGCGCATGTAACCGTCGCAAAGTGTCGTCGAGGTTCACAAAATAACAGAGAAGAAGTAACAGTTACCTTGAGGTGATAAACTCGGAAAGAACACCTCCAAACGCGTTCACGCCCATGATGACAGGAAAGCTGGCGCTTATCCGCTCACTTTTGATTATTTTGTTCAGCGTGAATTCAAACTGTCCCATTAGATCTTCATACTTCAGCGTAAACGACTTGTCTTCCTAACGATATAAAGGAAAAAAAGACACATAAAATAAATAACGTAGGTACGAACTTTGTAATAACTTCTTTAGTTTCCTGAGTATTTTAAACAAGGTTACGTTAAATATGGTTACATGTTATCAATTTCTCATTCTTTGTTTTCTTTTTCTTTACTTGCTATCTAGAATTAAAACTGTACGAGCTCAAAAGAAAACCAACTGATTAATTTAGCTTTCCAGCTCGAACTAAAAATTCACTGTAGATTGAATCAGTTTGTGCCGTTCCAAGAAGAAAAAGAAATTATTTAATTACATGAATGAGCTCAATAAAGAGATATTATTATAAATATTGTTATTATTATTATTATTATTATTATTATTATTATTATTATTATTATTACTATTATTATTTACAGAGCAAGTGCATTCATCACTGAGTACAAACCAACTTGTAGGCTCGATTTCCGCCGATTTCCGATTTCCGATTTACTTTCCCCTTTTTCGAACAGCGGCTGGTAATCGAGCCCAACCAGCTTGGAGTTATTTGAAATAATGGTGTATTTAACCCGCAGTTTCCTGTTAAATTTGCATGTCACTACTCGGACGCTTTTACCAGAATCTCCATGAAGCAGACAGGTGAGATGAATGATGTACCGCCCAATTCTCACAACTAAAGAGAATTGCTACCTTGACAGACTCACTCAGTGGACGTACCTTCATGAGGACAGAGTAGGACGAGATGAGTTGCATGTGGAATTCTTGAAGAGCTTTTCTAAATACGCGGTCGACGATCGTGTCCCGTTTGTTTTCTTCTTTATTTAAGATGGACACCTGACATGTAACAAACAAAACATTGAATATCAACAGACCCTTCGTGTTACAGTAAGTAAGAACAACAACAATAAGGGTTACTGAAAGCGAAGGACAAGCAGTACTACTGTATTGGAGCCTTATGTGAAGACAAATGCGGAGAGAATTACGTTGAGTGGTGAACGGTAAGCACCTAGAATTGCGTTGAGTGGTGTACGGTAAGCACTAAGAATTGCGTTTTGAGTGGCGTACAGTACGCATTAAGGCTCAAATGGTCTGGTTCACACCTTATTCATCAAGAAGCCCTCCAATAACCCAAGTTCCTCAGTTCCCCGAATTAACTTCTTTCCGGTGTTTTTCCACTGCACGGGGCCTGGTGTGATTGCACAGCTGACTATCTTGGTTTGCTTCAAAGCCCTGGCCAGATCTGCGAGAAACAACCGAACAGAGAGAGCACCTAAATTACATATTCATCTCTCTTCATTTTGACACATCCTTGCTACGTGATTTATTTGGTCCGGCTACAACTTTTCCAGCGTCAAATTGACGTCGCGTCGAGAAGATCTCCGAGATTCGCCCCAAAACATTCTATCCCGACGACTTGGTTTGAACAAACTAAATGTGTAACTCCATAGACTTGATTTTTCTCCCCCCTCCTACAGACGTAAAGGTCTAAGTAATCAATTACTTCGGAACTGGAAATCAGGAAATTAACTCTGTGGCAATGCTAGGGGTCTTTCCTTTTTTTTCGGTATTTATATTTTGTAGCAATTTGAAGTGTTAAAAAGTAATTCATAAATTTCCTTCTGAACGTAAACCTAGTCCACACATGACAAAGAATCCAAAAATTATGTTGAACTTGGTCGCATTTGAGCCCACGGTCTCCTGATCATTGGATCACCGTTAGACTGAGATACGAGGCCAGACAGGAGGAAGTCCGGGGTAACAAGATCACTCTCAAACGAGGCAAAACTCAAGCGCGGGTTGTTGATACATGAGCTTCACCTCGAGGGTACAGCAAATCAGGATAAATTATAGCAACATTATAACAAGTTACGGTGGCATTACAATAAATTCAAGAACAATCAAATTCAAGAACCTTCATGAGAGCCAGTATTTCCATCCATCTCAGTAGGTTTCTTTACAACAGTTTTGCTGAGGTGAGAGTCGGATTTTCTTCTAAACGAGTTGTTGCGCGCAATTTTACGCAGGAAACCTTTCTTGACCTTGCCACCGTACTCGGCACGTCCCAGACTTACGGTGGAATTCGACTTCTCCCCAGGCCTCATAACAGCCAAATCGTCCGCTACGAGCAGAGTGGACGTGGGTCGGCGTTCATCCAAAACGTCCGACGCGCTAAACCGCTGCCCAGGTTTCGCTTTAGAGGAGAGGCGCCGGCGGATACTGCTGGTCAGCTTGCGCGAAAACCTCGCATTTGACTTCAGCTCATCGTTCTGTTTGTCAGATTCACTGCAGAGTGTCGGAGAGGGAATGGGACTTAGCTTAGAGAAGCTGGGCACGACAGGTTTGCTGAGCGGCGGTGAAACATCAAGCGGAGGAGGTCGATTCCGCCGCTTGGTTTCTGGGCTGTTAGGTTCCGAGGATGACCTCTGACGGGCAACCTAAGAGAAGTAAACAACCAGATAAGCAAGCCAGGAAGGCTCATAAGGCTGGACCTTAACTGCGGTTTCCGCACCATGAAGCAGCAGTATTGCCACCCCTGGATTCCCCCAACCTACCGCCCCTGGATTCCCCCAACCTACTGCCCCAGTCTTCAGGCAGTTTTCTTAACAATTCCGTCGTCGATACCCATTAAAACTCCTGAGTGGACAGGGTCACCCATTGTGCACGGACACCAGGCAAGACTGGATCCCAGACCGCTAGATCCAGAGTAAATCTAAAATGTAAATGTAAATCTTATTTATAATGGTCACGCACTTAGCTATACAAGCACTGAGCTTGGCCAGTTTACAGGCATGCCACTGAAACAAAGGAAACAAATATTTCAAATAAACGAAACATGGTCAAAAATCCCAACTGGCAGGAGGCAGACCAGTTGGCAATTTACAAAGTGGGACCGAGGATTTGAACTCGGGACTACCGAGAAACAAATCCCGCTAGTGGCAGGGTGGAGGCCTTGAACCCGGGACCTCCAGATTTCAACACCAGCGCCCTAAACCACTCGGCCATGCTGCCTCCTCAGATTCCCACGCACTGCTCTAAAGTTGCAACAGTGAAACAAAAAACCTCTGTGAGTACATTTACACCAGTTAGCTAAAGCTTTGCTTTATTCAGCATACCGGTGATTTTGGTTCAGCTTCCTTTGGAGTACTGTCAAACAGCTTGGACATCTCTTTCACCCTAGAAACAAAAACCACTATTTACCAAAGCTGGGAGTGATATAGGCTGTTAAAATGATATACCCCTGCATTTTTTTGCCTCAAGCAAAAAATTTGAAACTTTCAACACGATGAAACAGTAATTACGTCTAACAGAAAATATGACACACAACTGGTGAGTGCGGTTTAAACTGTTTCTGGGGCAGTTTCCAAGAAACTAACCCATTATCTTTAACTTCTAGTACCTCGAAACCTTCCTCGCCCTCGCCCTCNGCCAAAGGCCCTGGGAGTGGGGTTTCCGGTCGCCACTCGCCGTCGAAGCGATCCCGACGCGTGCTAAAAAATCCTCGGTTCTGGTATCATCTCCTATTTGGAAAATGCATTATGCGTCCGTCCCGCAATCCTGCTTTGAAAGTATGTGTGAAAAGCGCAAAGCACGTCTACGTAATACACCGAGGGTAATTACGATCTATCTGAGTGTGACATCTCACGTGTTCTTACTTGGAGGTACTCCGCTCTCTAGGCGATCCTGGAGTTTTTACTTCTTCTTCGTCGCTGTAGACCACTTGCTGTTCTTCGCTTTCCTGGTCTTCAGAGCCGACATCAAAATAAAGTCCTTTGTAACCATGAGGGTCGCTTAAAGATCGACTGATTGGCCGCATAATTTCCTGCCGACTTAAGAGCAAACAAGAGTGCGATTAATATAAAGTAAAAAAACGAACAAACGTCACCCCAGCAAAAATCTCAGCCTTTCACTCAATCATTCTGATGATCGAGATGAAGAATCGATCATAGATACAGCGAAACCTCTATCAAGCGGACACTCTCGGGACCTTCCCAAGTGTCCGCTTAATAGAGCGTATCCACTTAGTAAAGGTTTATAACAATTGCGCAATGTTTGTTAACAATTAACATTCAACGGTTCCTAGAGTACTGTATTAAAGTTCCAGGTTGTTAACGAAGCTATCCAGAGTTCAAGTTCATCAGCTTTCATTGGCAACTTTAATTTGTTTGCAATAATGCCCTTTCAATACAGCAACGATAATATGGGTACATTTAATCGACTATTTAATCGACTATTTCAAGGACGCAATCCAATGCCACAATGAATAGAGTTTTTTAACAATAAAAATTAGCCAAATACAATTTATTTTAGGTGTCCGCTTAATTGGGGGTCCGCTTAATAGAGGTTTCACTGTAGTATCTTCTCAATACTGCTGTTTTCAACTGCGAGCTGTCAGTGCGGGCGCCACAGTTGCGGCGCGCGACAGAAACACGCGGCCGTGAACTTAACAATAGCGTTGTTGGAAAGCAGGACAAGGAGAATATTGAAGAAGATTTCCAAAACAGATATATGCTAAATATGACTACACAAAGAACGGAGAACACTCAGTAAAAAGGAAAATGGCAACTTAATAGACAAGAAAACAGAACAGACCTCGAGAACTAGAAATAGCAAATTAAAGCCAGGACAGTACTGTAAACATGTTGCGTCACGAGATACCACGTCGAAAGCGACCTACGAGAACTGTGAATCAGGTTGTAATACCCAGTTTAGCATCAACATAAAGGTTCTTTACTTAAATCCTGTTTATCTCGACGTACGGATGTTCAGCAGCGTTACTACACCTTCAAATACAGTCTCCAATAAAAGACAATTTTTTTTCTCCACCCTCTATGACAACGAACTCTTCATTCATGTCTTATGCACTTCACACAAAAAATCGAAAAAGAAAGTCTTACGGTGAAACGGGCTTCTTGAGGGAATCCCTCTCTGACATCGTTTGGTGTTCTTCCACTCTTTTCAAATGTCTAAAGAAAAGACAACACCAAAATAAATAATAATGACATAAAAAGGTTTGTGCGTAGGTATCAGTCTAATCCAAAGCGTTCGACTTCGAAAGATTCGAAATTCAGAGCAAGAACCACACAATATTTATTGTTTAAATCCACTCGCAAAATAAAAACAGTTCAATTTAAAGTTAGTGAATAACATATGGGTATGGCACTGACGGAATTCTCGCATTCCTGCTGGTCATTTAGTTCTCCAACGAAGTATTTACAATTTGCGTTTTTCATGGTAATGGTAATCCTCTAGAAACAACAAAATAAGTTCTACAGGTTCTAACAACAACAGAAAATACAGGTTCAAAATCGGAAGACGTTTTCAAGAGGTAAACCTAGCAACAACCTTATGGTATAAAGCAACTTTACAACTGAGCTATATGTGTCAGTAAGGATGTTGAGGTTGGGGCAACGATTTATTGGTTACGATGTAGTTTATCAGTTATCTCTGAAACTATGCAACAAACCTTTTTCTCGCCAGGTAACCCCTTGCGTGACTCTGAATCAAAATTAACCTGTCACGCACGCTGTGATAGTAACGGCGCGCCACGTACATTCGCCACAGGGACTGGATCCGAAGGGCGGCCAGAGTCTGTTCCTCGAGTTCAGCACGAGCCATGTAACCCCGCCAGCAGGCCTAAAAAAACATGAAGCGTTGTCAATTAAACAGGAAGTAATGAAGTACAATTTTCATATCGGTTTATATTTGAACTTCTAACTATAAAATCTAACGCTAACTGGAGATGACAAAGATTTCCAAAAAAGTCTACTTTTATTTTCTCGACCAGAAAAGGAGGCAATTTGTCAGGCGTTCCAGTTATGTGAAGCATGCAAAGAGTTTACTTTTGGTGGGAAAGTTTTGCCACATTTAAGCCCCCGAAAACAGACGCTCAATATTTAATTACTATTAATACTATTCTTTTTTAAACCCCTTTTCAATTTGACTCACGACAGTATTACTTTACTTGATATCGTAGCCATAGCAAATCGTTGACTTGATATCGCAGGATATCAGGACAGTGTACACAGCTTCTGATTGGCTTATTCCGAATCCTGGTACGATAAAACACTTTGTAAACAATGGGTGCGAACAATGCGTTTATGTGCGAATTACACACCAAATACATGCAGCGAAATTGACACATAATCAAATTAGACAAATGCAAGAGAAAAAAATCAAGATGAGAGTTACTTTGTTACCTGAATCGTTATGGCAGCATTTCTTTGTCTGATAAATTGCTTTCTCTGCAGGGCTCCTTTGATCCATCGTTGTAGAACACATATTTTGTGGATCTGCTCAGAATGCAAGCGCGTTTGTAACAACGCGTGCTGACTGTCCCGGAGAAACACCTGACGAATAACAAAGAGATCAAGCTGTAGATTCTCCTTAGCGACCCCCTTTCAGCTCCTTTAATGACACTCTTAAGATGTTGTGGTTAATCCCAATTTCAAACTCATTCTTGTTTGTATCAAGTTGTACGGACTCAAGAAGTCATTTCTTTCTGTCCAGAAATAAGCGTCAGCCGAAAATCTTCGACCATAACATGGTGTGTTTTTTTTTTCTGCTTTTTCCCTAGAGAGCTGGAAGATTTGTACAGAGTTGAAAGCAAATTTGCGCCTAATCCTGATGGACACGCAAAACTAATGGCTTCAAACGAAACATCATGCATCAACAGCACTGAGTTCGCAATAGTCATGGGTTGCTAAACAACATGACGTCATCTTAAGGTGAACGATGACGCGGCACTTGAGCAGTACAGGCTGATTACAGAAACAGATAGTGTAACTCAAAACCATTCGAGTGCATGCAGCAATCAATCAGTTGATCACTCAGTTCACTTCGAACTTCGCCATTTTGCCAACGTTTCCTAACTTAATTTTCTAATTATTCTAATTCAATTACCAGTCTCTCACCTTTTCTTTGCCTATCTGGTACTCGCAAGGATCTAATCTCAAAGATTCTAGAATGCCCGGCATCTCCTCGCGAAGATCTTTTATCGCTTTACGCGGGAACAGCAAGCTGTAGCGCTTCACAAATTCCTACAAAACAAGAGAAATTTACAAATCATTGACGAGTTATCTCTTAGAACCGAGCAATATGAGCTCTTTGAATTAATTTCAACAGAGTCTTCATCTTTAGCGTAAATCTTTTATCGCTTTTCGCGGGAACAACGGGCTGTAGCGCTTCATAAATTCATACAAAATAGGCGAATTTTGCAATTCAGTGAAGAGGTATCTCTTAGAACCGAGCACCTCGAGCCAAGCAATATGAGCTCTTGGAATTTATTTTAACAGGGTCTCCATATTGTTCTCGCATAAACCAATATGTCCCTAGATGGCATAGGTAATATGAACTCGTAACCCTAGTTAAAGGAGTGAAATCCCCCCAGAATCGCCACATTAACGACATCAAGAAACCACGCAAAGAATCGTTTATTTAAAAGTAAAGGAACACCAAAGCGCGATAAAAAACAATTTCGCGTGACGTGCGTCTGACAGGATTTCTTTTCTACTGAATAAGTAGAGTGGCGAAGAAATGTAAGTTATGCAAAGTGTCCACTATAATAGTCCAACACTAAAAATAACCTGGTTCAGATCTTAAGTTATATCACCAAGTGTTTACAATAAAGAGCCTTGTTAGACATCACTCATTAACTGCGACGTAGTTTATGGCTCATATATAATAAGTAAATGATAATGACAAGCAAGACCAAAGTAACAAAGGCAAGTGACAAATGAGGGACGGCTTTTTCATCAAAACGTCTGCAAACAGTATAACCCAATTTTTTTTGGTCTTCATTGTTTATTTTATCAATCTTATGTTTCACTGCTAAAGGGTAAAGTTCGTTCGGATTGAGCACCGAGATATTAGCATAGCCAAGATTCACTTTAAATTGTCAAACTACCATTTTACAGACTTGAAGCTTATTAACCCCAAGGTCTTTAAGTTTCTTATCTTTGTTGATATTTATATCCTGCATGTTGACTTGTACAAGATGACGAGAGGTGAAAATTGACGCATTGAATCATGCCAACACGTGCATACCGTATGCCCTCGGAACTCTAAATTTTAGGGTTTATTATTACTATTTTTCTTTTTTTAACCTGCTTGATTTAAGAACATACTGTGATTCCAGTGGGCTGCAAAGAGATTGAAATTCTGTCTGGGGCAAAAGTCAAACAGATTTACTCTTGAAAATGATTAAGTCTCGTGCAATTTTTTGGACCCGTTTAACAGGAAAGTTTTTGACAATTAACCTGTATAATCAGTCATCCTGTTTGGCTGACGAGAAGTCTCATAGCAATTGTTTACATTAGACAGTAAAACATGCCAAGCTTGTTACCTCAGACAGTCCTTGATTAAAAGCACTTCACAACCTGGATCACGAAAAAATTTAGTTTCTTTTTCACAGATGTCTAAATCGAGAAAACGAAGAACAGATTACAACGCGCATAATGCCTTGAAAATCAAAAAGAACTGAATTCTTTTTTTATTTTCCAAGTATTGAAATCACTCCCAATAACCTGCTACAATCCTGTTATTACTGAATCAAGATTGAAATACACTGAATTATCAGGTAATGAATCGCACAAATTAGAATCTAAGATTCCCTTTAAACTGCGTGAAAAGAAATAATTACGAGTCTTGCCAAATAGCTGAATAACATCCTGTAAAACCGCGAAAAATTACGAATCCGCAAACTAAGACATGCCCGGAAAAAAAGAAAATCACTCCTTATAAGGCCATGTTCTCCTTACAGACTTTTGTCTGTAGTTTTAGTGAGGAACGTTCCCCGCCGTTCTGTACATGAAACGCCCCTAGGCATCCCCCAGAGGTCAGACATCATTATAACATCTTGCATAAAGTTTCCCCCTTTTTTTTTTTTTTTTTTTTTCTTATGTTGTATTCATTTTGCGAAAGCTGCATTAATGATAAGTAAAACATGTGATCTATCACCACATAAAAGGACCTCCGTGCGCTAAAGAATTGTCTCGAATCATTTATTTTCGCGCGGAATTAATCAACCTGTAATTGCCAAATTTTCTGTCGAAACTAAACATTATGTTCATAGCAGGCTGAAATAGCCGCGCTCTCCATTTATCATGTAGGCTTCAATCTGTCTACCTTAAACATATTTCCCCGGGGGGGGTGGAGGGGGGCTATTTCAAACTCAAATAGCATTAAAACTATGGTATTCAACCTTTGAAAATTTCCCTAAAAGTCCCACCTCCCTTGGAGAAAATGTAACAAAACCTTCCAGGATGAATTAAGTAATCTATAAAACTCACAACAACCAAACACGCAAACGAAAGGCTGGACAGACGAGCGAACGAACGAAGTAACGATCGTACGGACAGACAGACGGGCGAACGAGCGAACGAGCGAACGAGCGAACGAGCGAACGAACAAACGAACGAACGAACGAACGAACGAACGAACGAACGAACGAACGAACGAACGAACGAACAAACGAACGAACGCACGGACGGACGGAATGATTGACTGACTGACTGACTGACTGACTGACTGACTGACTTCCTTCCTAGTTTGTCACTCTCTACAGGTAGTGTGGGCTCGTACCAACTCTTAGCGATCGGAAATGATATTTCTGACAATGTAGCGTCCCGGAACAGGCAGAAATAGCTATTTTACCGGAGCACTAAAGAGTTGAGTCCGCGTTATAGCGGGTTCATTGCTAATTTCTTGAGATATGTATAGCAGGCTATTAGAAACTTGAATCAGTCTAGGTCAGCACTTGCCTCGGTCACCAAACATTTTGTGGTGCAAATTTTGAAACATTTCTTTTAGCGTTTCTTTATCATGCCTAGTAACCCCGCCCTCAGAGTTGGCGGCACCACAGCTGATTTTACCACATTGTAGTTTTGGGTTTTCGTATATCCGGCGGTGTTGTACTTAGTTGTTTCCTTGCGCTCACAAGCACGGAACTTAAGAATACGCCGATAAGCTGAGGGCATTCATGGAATACACTCTTCTTTATATATGGGAATATTGTTTTTCCAACCGAGGCTAAATATTCTTATTTTCCTGCCAATTTTAGGCTGAAAATATTTTTGTGAATGTAGTAATTTTAGAGCCAGACTGAAGGCAATAAAATCTGGCATGACACGCATAATTTCTTGTTTAAAGGTTTTCAGCCTCGAGCATATGGTTGTTGTTGTTGTTTTTTTTTGGCTAGTTTTGCCGTTTAGAGAGAGCAACAATTTTATATGGTTTAGTTAAAAACATAATTACATTTTATTTACAAATATTCAACCCACAAAATGATACTTTTTTCAAAATCGCATCCTCGGGTTTATTCTTAAAATCTTTTTAAATATTTGGCAAATTTCAGCCCCGATATTCTTATAAAATATATTCTTATAAAAAAGAGAGTAAACTGGCCACAAGGTCCCTGTATCTAAACAATTGTGCGTGTCTTTCTGAGTAGAACAGAAAAAAAAAAAAATCGTTTTTTGTTACAGCTTAGGGAGTTGCATTTTAGATTTTCACAGATACTACCTATTATATGTTAATGTTTTAAGAAAAGGATATTTAATTAGTAACTTCCACGAAAGGAGGTCAAAGTCATACATTATGTTGTCATTAACTGCGACGGAAATTTGAGACGCAAGAGAACGTGAAATAAACATGCCGCAGGGAAGTGTTTTCTCGATTTGTCAAGTGTTATGAAAAAGCCTTTTTTTTTTTTTCTGGCAGGGCATTAGGTGGTTTTGATATCCTCGTATGCTTCATCTTACTACTACGAACGACATGTTTCACTTTGTTATATTTGAAAAAATAAATAACGATAGCTAGCGCTCTTAAGCCAATCAGCGAAAAATCGAATTTGTATTATATTATTATCTGTGTAAATTTGAACCAACACGCGCAGGCAAAATTATAGCTTGCATTCTGCATGGTCACAGAAAACACAAAAAGAAAATCAAAAAGCAAATTTGCAGGAATTAAAAATGAAAAAAAAAAAAAAAAAAAAACGGTTCTTGAATTAAAAACTTAGGAAACAAAACGCAAATTTTTCAGCTTTCAACAAATTATCTTAATTTTTTTTCAATGTCGCTGCCTGCAATTCACCTGAATCTTCTTCGATGTCAGCCGGCCACTTTTACGATATCTTGCTGTCGCTTTATTAACAATGTTTATGTGTTTTTCCCGTCAGGCGAGCTATATATTGTCTCGAAGTTTTTCTTTCCGAAAGGGAAATTTTATATAGTGTGATTACGACGCAATATCAATTTTAGAAAGCTTTCCCAAAACACTTTTAATATTGTCTCAAAGCTGCAGCATTTACAAATAAATGTCACTCCTTAATTCAAATTTGACATGTCATCAGCTGTTAGTTTATAAGGAATTTTAAACCAACCAGATTTAGTCCGACTATAGACGAGAAACAATATTTGAAGAAATCAAATGTACTCAAGGCAAATAGTTTATTATTCTAGCAATGATATTTAGCGAGCGGCTTAGAAAACAGGACAATATTCTTCTCGTGGAATATTAATTACGGTGTATTGTTTTATTACAACATCTTGGTTTGGTGTTAAATACGGTGAAATGAAAATTACCATAAATACAGCTTATTCCGCGGTTTGACAGATGGCACGCCCCTAGCCTATGAACAAACTCTCATACGCCTCGGGGCAAATTAGGATGAAGCCGCTAGCTAGCTCTAAGGTTGGGTGGATTTGAACCTGTTTGCAGGCGAATACACCCCGAGTGGATATTCTAAAAACTGTATGGTATTGCTAGCAACGAGTGAAATGTCCTAGCATGTTATCTGACTAACCTTTGAATAAAGGATTCGATATTCGACTGCTTCATTCTCCTTATATTTTAGAATCCTTTTATTTTCTTTCATTGCTCAGAAAGTTTAGTCCTCTTTGAAATACCCTCTCCCCCCGCGCACCTTAAGTTTCATTTGCTCTGTGCTGGTATATTCGTGGTGATGGGGGGTGGAGATTCTCGTATGAAACGGACGGGATGGTGTTCATTATCTTGCAGATTTTGGTATCAGAAACCAACACTTTTCATGTTCGTACTGATCTGTTTTAAAGTGCGATCGGAAAACAAATCTACGCTAAACAACGAAGGTCTAAATATTAGAGGAAAAAGTGGCGTTGCCTGTTAATCAAATAATGTTTTTAAGAACTTTCGGTGAGAATTCTCTAATAAATAAAGCATTTCAAGGAAACCGAAAGGGAAGGAGTCTGCATTATTAGAAAAAAAATTGCTTTCTTCAGCGCAAATTGATCAAGCTGGCACTACATTACAGCTCAAGATAGAGGAAGCTTTGCACATCCTGTGGGAAATTAAATCCCTCCCTTAATCAGCAACCTCAACAAGTTAATTTAAGCTTATCTTTGTAATCCGCACGTTTTTAGTTTCTACTTTGAGTACGTACTCATCAGCATGTACTAGTTGTTTATATTCAATTTGCGCCTTCTGTAATATTTGCACAGAAGAAGGCAGAAGTTTCTACCGAAACGAATTTTTACATTTAAAAAGTGTCGCTTTATTTCTAAAACTTTCCTGCTGTTCAGACCTTTTTTAAATTGTTATTAAGAAAAGTATTGTTTAAAAATGTAACTGTTGCTGGCCGTATAGTTTGCTGTGGGACAAACAGATCTATGAAACTTCAAACTGAAATAACCAGCCTTTGCGTACAAAATGCGAGAACTCACGGCCTGTGTGCACTGATCCTGATTGGGCATAAAGATAAGTCTTAATGTGTTGTGAACTTATATCTGTTACAACTGGGACTTACATCTCGAAGCTTTCAGACCCTAAGCAATAGAAGAAGCATACCCAAGCGAAAAAACTATGACAATCTTTGTCTCTTGGTTAACTTCTAATTCACGCAACATGATGAATACATTTCCAAGGAAGTAGTCAGTGGTTATTGACGGGTACACGGGTACACGTAAATTGATTCCTGTAATCTTAACTACTGCAGTGGTTCCCATTATCAAAAGGAGACTTGATTTCAGATTGCATATATCATTTGTCAGTACAGTTTTTTACTCGCACACACTTTCAAAAAATCAGATACATTTTCGTGAAAGAGACTGGGAGCGCAAGAAGCGAACTACAAGAAGCTACGAGAAGCTCAACCATGTGAGCAAGTTAAGGCAGTCTAGCAGTCATCTGAATACAATCTGCAATCACCAATTTTATGTCTTATAGTATTAGGGTATGCTGCACGGAGGCGCGGTAAACTGGTTTAAAGTACAGCTCCTCAAAACAGGTTGCAGGACATGGTGTTTTCATTCTCACTACTCTCTTCCTTACCTAACTATGCCCTGAAAAGTGGGGGCCACAGGATTTTCGATCCGAGCGACCCCGGCAATTCCAAAGTATTGACACAGAATTGCTCTTCCTACATGAGTGGAGTATAGTAGGAATATTTCTGGTAGCTTCACCCTAGACTGAGAAATATTACTGTTAAGCTCCGACAGACGCGAGAAATAACTAATCACGCATATTACGACTTACCTTGAACCTGCTGAACGGGAAGTTGCTGTTGTCTTGTGTTTGGTGTTCAAACCTTGCTGACTCTAATGAATATGCAGAAAAGAAAAATAGAATAGTTCTACAACTAAAAAGTGTTTTCCTACTACCTTACATTAAGAAAGACATGTTATAGGTAGCCTGTGCTTATCTTTCATGCTTTTTGAGCTACAATCTCGATTCTTAATGCTTCTTACATTGCAAATGAAGATGTTTTTAAATTCACATGCAATTTATCATGCCCACCTTGAATGGACATTTTGTCCCGAGCGGACGCAGGAAAATATTTAATCAAGTCATTTTGTGTGAGCTCTAAGGAAGTTTACATTATTCAAAGTTAATTTGCCATAATACGAGATCTTTTTGTACTAGCCTATCTTGAATATTGCTAAAGAAACTCCACAGGAAATTAAATTATTTTAAAAGAAAACTGGTGATTTTCAGTAAGATCTCATTCTAATGCATTAATATTTGTAGTGCTCAAAAGAACGTTTTCGTTCTCCATATTAAATCAATAAAGGGCTATTTCTTGGAACGCCTTTTAAACTGCGGCGGAAATCAGCACAAACCCACGCGTGGCATGGGCCATGCAATCAGCGCCTCGAGCTAAACCTGTCAGTGTTTGTCATGAAATGGACTACATTACACGATCAAAAGGGAGTTTAAGCAGTTACGACGGCGACGCCGAGGAAACGTCGATTAAAAAAAAACGAATTTATATTTTACCTACAAGTCCAGCGTACTCCTAAGTCACTTAGTTTGTTTCTCACTGTCAAAACTATCTCGGAACTTATTGTGGAACACAGTGCAAAATTCAAAATATATACTTTAAAAATTATCCGTCGTGGTCCACGTTCTCCACGCAACGCAAGATTTGGTCATTTCACGTTGTTGTTTTGCAGATGACGGCAAAGAAATGTACTAAGAATTGTACCGCAATTGCACAACCACTGCATTGCTTATTAAACCTTTTGTTTAGCGACGTTCCCGTTACCATTGTCGTTAAACTCCCTATTACAACAAGTGAAACGCAGTCCTCTTGTCAAGCCTGTTTTTGGAATAATTATATACATATGAAACGGCAGTACTTCTTGAATTTACTACGTGGCCGATAATTTGATTAAAAATCATTCTCTCTAGCGTTGGGGGAAACTTATTTAATCTGATATATTTTAATTTTTGAATTTTTCTTGTTTTTTTTTGTTTTTGTTTTTTGTTTTTTTTTTTGNAGGGGCAGCCAAAACTGGAATTCATTGTGCACTCGACAAAGTTAGTTGATTGTTGTAGGCTAAGGGCTGAAAAATTTACCCAAAATAGTACTCCACAAGCGATCCATTTTTAACGCTTACGAGGCAAGAACAAAGCTATTTAAAAGGACCTGTATTTAACAATCATTCGCCGAAGGCGAGGTGGATATTGCCGAATAATTACAGCAGGATGACAGCAATCATTTGGATGATGATGATCATCAACAATCACAAGGTTGACAGCAGTCATTTTGAAAATTCTCCATCGTTTCAAATATCCTGGACTTAGAGTGATGTCTTCCGAATAAATGACAAATTCATTCATCAAATGTCCGCCATGGTTACTCGCCGACATGGCAAAGGTGGCGAGCTTAGAAGCCAGGCCTCGAAAATGTTATATAAACCGCCTGGAGCGGTTTTTATAACGCAATATATGGGATCGCTGAACCAATCAGATTGCTGGAAACTCCTTGTTCAGCTCTGAAATTATACTAAAACCAGATATTTTACGAACGTAGTTTGCTGTGGACGAATCTTCTCAATTTGAATATACTAACAAGACACTCAGCAGGATCTACTGTAACCTTCAAGGTGAAGGCTACGAATTTAACTGACTAAATGCCCATCAGTGCGAAATTGTTGAAGAATTTCAACGATATAACCTATCTGAATGCCTTGAAATGTTTTTTCAGAAATACCTAGAGATTCGAGGGACTGATTTTGGTTTTGCAGGTTTCATCGATTACAAATTTTCCGGATAAGCTTTAGCATGCCATTAAATATTCTAGTGAACAAAGCGATTTTTATGCTGATAAAGTCCTTGGAGGTATACTTAAGAAGTTTTTATTTATGCTTGGAGGGTCCGCCAGGGGGTGTAACCGCTTATTCCCTTTTGTATACCATATTAAAGAAAACTTACCCCTTCTGAGCATATTTTGTTGAAAAAAGACATTTATTCCTTTCCCATCAGAACTGTAGCAGCTCTCGTAAGTTTGTAGTTCTCTTCATTGTTAGCAGCTGTTACTGTTTTAGGGCTAGGGGTATTGTCTCTGTTGTTTGTTCTATTGTTCTCTCAAAGGGTAGCAAGCCATTCATGTGAGACCTTACGACAGCTGCTACATCACCCTTTCACATATCTACACTCTTTCGTTTTTACATGAAAAAAAATATATATATATTGTTTTTCCGGCTCAGGCTGAATGTTCTTATTTTTGAGCCGAATTTAGGCCGAAAATATGCTTGTGAATATTCGTAGAAAAAAAATCTTAGATTATGGGAATAGAAAGTGGACCATGCTGTCACAACGCCAGATTATCTGTTCTATCACAACTGATGGCATTGACGTAATTTTGGAGCCAGACTGTAGGCAATAAGGCCTGATATGACACAACTTATTGTAAAAATGTTACTAGCTACAGTTTAGTTTTAAAAAAATATATTTTTGTGTTATATTTTCAAATTTTCAACAGACTAAATAATATTCTTTGCAAAATTTTAGTCCCGGGTTTATTCTTAAAATATTCTTAAAATTTCGTAAATTTCGGCCTCGATATTCTGTTATAAAATATATTCTTATAAAATATCTTCAAGAAAAGAGCGTATTTAAGAACGATGTATCGTTTCAGTCTCTAAACCTTTCCAATGAAAGTATATTGAACACTATGCCGGGAGAACATCAGACATTACCAGAAGTTATGTTAACCAAAAACATGTGGCAGTTTTTCAAGAATCGGTTTCTGACATGTATAGATAAACATGCTCCTATTAAAGCAAAAAGAAGAATTGGGAACAGGAGGTACCCGTGGAATACGTATGAGTTCATACGTAAAACGTGTAAGTAAACAATTCAATTATCTATGCCAAACTCAAATGCTTTAGCGATATCCTCGCTTCTAACAGAAAGGATTCCCGCAAAACGTGGCAGCTATGAGCAGAGCTCTCGTCAACATAAGAAGAAAGTTATTGCTGATATTGAAATCGGAGATTTGAAAATAAGTTCTGCATCTGAAATGGCGCGCAGAAGCCTGTAATCGTCCTTTCGCAAACATTGGGCGACTTGGCGAGAAACGTACCTCCACCTAATACTGTTCCAGAAAGTTATCGCATCTCAACAAGCAAGACTTTCTCTTTTCAAAGTCGAACCACTAATGAAGTCCTAAAATTACCTGAAAAACTACAAACTGAGAAAGCGACTGGTTTGGATAATTTGCCATCCAAGATGTCTAAAGTGGGGGCAGGTGTTCTGGCACCATCCCTTGGCATTTTTCTTCAATGGATTTCCTCTGGTATTGTTCAAATTGAATGGAGGCTAACAAGAGAGACGCCAATTTTTACAAAGGGTAAACAAGACATTAATAACTACCGGCAAATTTCGCGTATTCCTGTTGTTGCTAAGGTGTTCGAAAGAACAGTTTGACGCTCAATTTTTCAAGTATCTCAGTATCTTAATGATAACTCCCATAGCGATATTCGAGACAAGTTTAAATCCGGCTTTAGATCACTTCATAGCGAACTGACGTCCTTGCTGGAAGCTTCTAGCAGCTGCTTTGTCAATAGAGCTAACGGTCTTATATTGAATGGTGCAATATTCATAGATTTGAAAAAGGCTTTCGCCATCATTGACTATCAGATGGTCTCACGAATGCTAGGTATAGCTATGGCATTGATCCAAAGGCCCTAAAGTGATTTGCTATTTTTGACTCTTATGTAAGTGATCGTCAGCAAAAGTGTCTAGTTAATGGTAAGCTGTCTGGTGTGCGTGCTCTTATCTGTGGTGTCCCATAGGGAAGTAGGTCGTATTCTTATTAGTCCCCTCCTTTTATTTCCGGATTTATGTTAACGACTTACCAAACTGCCTGAGTAAAGCCTTACCGCGAATGTACGCCGACGATACAAGCATCAGTATCGCTGCCAGTAGCTTACCAGAGCTTGAATCAGCACTGAACATTGAACTAGCTTACCTTCAAGAATGGCTGAATGTAAATAAACTAACCTCAAAAACTGCAAAAACCGAACTATAATTTTATACAGACTTGCCAAATAGAAGGTCACGGTTTTCACGTGACGTCATCATTTTCCAAAACTAAAAATTATTAGTCCTCCTAAAGTTTTAGTTTTATCAGATGTGAGACTTTCAGAGAACTTGACGTTTTACAGCGTTTCAGCTAGACAGGGTTACTCACTTTGTTTTAGAGCACGTTTGAATTTCCAAGTTTATGTGTTGCGTGACACTAGATGGCGGCCCAAGGAGGCTCTCGCGTAGGTCAAAAGATGACTTACCGTTCAAGTTTTGCTAAATGAACATTCCTTGCACTACAAGAAGTATTAATTTCAATGTGTCGTAGCTCTAGAGTAATACTTTTTCGTTTCAATGGCAAAACTCAATAACAGATGTTGGTGCCCCGCCGAGGGACCCCAACATGGCGTCTCCATACAAAGCTCTATAAATTTGGGTGAAACACTTTTCCAAATAACACGCGAATGAAAAACCACACAGAACTAAATCTTGGCGAGGTTGTATATATATCAATCATCTATCATATTTCACATTTTTGACCTATTTCAATTGAATGGTTAAGATTTTTATTTTTAATTGTGTGACATTGCCAACCAGCAATAGTAAGAGTTTTTCACACCAGGGGGTCTACATCGATTAAAATTTAGCTAAATTTGTCTTGGTCCAAATGTTTTAATGAGACTGCTAAGGTTATCTCCTGTGGTGTAGGTGCAATTAAAAGGTTGAGGCCGTTCATATGTGAAAATGCAAGTATATATTGCTGTCCTGTGTGGGACGGTCTCAACAGCGAGTTAGCCGACAAATTACAAAAACTACAAAATCGCGCCATTAGGGTTATCACCAAGTCTGATTACACTTCTAGCGCTACCACCCCAGGATGGGATAATCTCTATATCAGAAGGGAAAAGCAAAACTTGAAATTAATGTTTAAAACCATGAGTGATCAGACTCCGGAGTATCTGAAAGGTCTATTTAAACCCTTGAACATGGATCACGGACTTAGATAATATACCGGAGAAAACAAATTAACTCTGCTCAAGCCCCGTACCGATTTTCTGCTACAGTGGGGCACACTTGAGGAACAGCCTTCCATCTAATGTAAGAACTTCTAAATCTTTTATTAACTTTCAAAATGAGATTGATATTCAAATGTGGAAAAATCGCTCTAAGAGAAAAAAATATATATATTTCGAAATAAACAATTCGCAGACATGTTTTTTTTTTTTGTTTATAAGTTAAACAAGCTGCTCTCAAAATTGGCGGGTAAACTGCCAAACTCCTTTTGACTTGTAGCTTTGAAAAATTCAACAATTCATTTGTGTCAAAATTATTGGTATAGTGTGATAGCCAGCACTATAAGCCTAAATTTGATATGGGGTGCAAGTATCTACAGTCAGACAGTTAAACATGAGACACCTCTCTCTCTATATATATATACGGTAACGTTAACAAACCTCGAAAATTTCGGATAAATATTTCTTCCCTTTTATGCAACTTTCTCTTTTTACGTGGAGCCTTGAATAAGAACGCATATTTCAATTCAAGGAATTTTTTTTCATTACCTTTCGTTCGATGGCATAACCATGAGCTGTTTTTGCGTGACGAACATCTCAGTTTGCAGGGGCTAAGCTTTTCCGGCACCGTTTCCGATTTCGATCAAAGTCTCTATTGTTTAGTTTTGACCTGGAATCCTTCACGACAGAATCCCGTCGAATTTTATTCCACCTCAAGGAAAAAACAAAACTAGTTCGTCTGAGGAAATATTCTAAGAAGATAATTCGATCTTCATCAGTTCATTATATTGAAAGAAAAGGGAATTTTCATTTGCAGAACCTGAAGGCGAAGACATGCAATGTTTTGATATAATCCGTGACGGGTTGAATAGTTAAATTTAGAGTTCACTTTCATGTTTATATTATAAATTTAGACAGTTACTTACAAGTCTTGTTCTCATTCCTGTGTTTACTTAGTTCTGTCGACAGACCCTCTGTTTTGTAGTAAGTTCGTAGAGCTAAATATCGCAAGCTTAGCGAAATGTCAAGCCGGCACGGGATACACGCGCTAAAACACAACGGGGTGGGCTAGAAAAAGATCAAGCTTTTTGCGCAGGCGTAAAAGGTGGGGGGGGAGGGACAGGGGAATCGATGGAGAGGGAGTGGGAAGAGGAGCCCCCTTTGGCTCATTTTTGCGGCCCTGGCGCTGGCGGCCGCGAAATAGCGATCAGCTGATACTTACTTATTAACTGATTAATTATTCGTTGCACAATTTCATCAAAAATCACCCCAAAGCTGGCGGTGGAAGAAGCATTAACATTTGGGAAGCTTGGTTATTTCAGAACATTTTTGTTTATGTATTTTATATTTACCGTTGTTGGTTTAACTGAACGTACAATTCGAACAAATGAATTTACTCAGGCTCCTGATTCACTACATTTTTATTTACAAGTCGTTTTAGCTGGATTTATCGTTTAACTCGAGCCGATATACATTGGAGTGACTGGGTCATCTGCGAAAAAAAAAAATGCAATCTTTCTTATTTTCCCTACCTTTATCTTTACACCTTTTTGGTTAATCATGATCTATATCTCTTTGGTAGCCTTTGGTCTTTACAACTAAACCTTTATTTCATTAGGTCCCATATTTTTTAGGACGTGAGGTTTGGTCCACCTCAATAAAATCGTCCGAAGCCCTTGAGGTTCATAACACAACTTTGAACAGTAACATATTTTTATGGGCATATCGAAAAAAAAAAGGAAATAAATCTAATTTAAGAGATTTGAACGATCGAACTCAGTAGTTTTGAGTGCAAAAACTGCTAAAAAGTTATTTGTTACACTATTTTCCATACTCTCGGATACCCATCTGCCCTTGCAGAGTGTAATCACGTGATCGTTGCCGTTCGTCTGAGGTCTTACGGAACTGGTTTGAAGTAAGGCTGGGTAACCTCTCCAAAAAACCTGGAGATTCTTCAAAGTGAGGCAGCTGAGATGGCTTGACTCCTGCGCTGTTTGGCGGTAAATCCATCTCGACAGGTGGAAACCTGTTTGACTGGACTGGACAGCAAGGACAAGGCGTTTCCGAACGTGTGTATGATGGTAAATTTCTCGGCGAGTAGATCACGTGATTTGGGGCGAAATTTAATGGTCCTTGGAAGCCTGCGTGTGGTTGATAAAGTGATTTCCAAAACTGTATATCGCTGGAGGGCGCATGTGCGGGAAGCGGAGGCCGGTCAAACTGGTTTGGGAAGGAACTCTGCGGAATATTGGCTGGGGATCTTTCTTGTCTTCTCAACTTGGCGCGACGATTTTGGAACCAGAACTAAAGATAATAACAATAAAGAATAATAATTATTATAATATTTGTATGGCGTAAATTTATCATAGGTTTTCAATTGTGCCTCAAAAAATGACAGAAAATTATAAAATAAATAAAGTAATAACTAATAAATAAATAAAATAAATTACAAATCTAATATTAATGGTGTCGCGGCCAGAAAAGCTTAATCTCTAACGTTGTTGGTGTTCTTATTTTAAACTCTCTTCTTTGTTTGAACGGTATATATAAAACAAGAAAACAAAACTGTACTTTGGAGCTTTGTTATTGTTGTTATTGTTGTTATTGTTTGTTTGTTTGTTTGTTTTTTTGTGCCAGTGGTGCACGTCTGCATAAGGAACAGGCATCGTTTTTTTTTTTTTTTTTTTTTTGACCTTTGAACTTCTGGCTGTCTAGGTCGCTACGTCACGTTTTGCACATCTTGAAAAGCTTAGCCTAAATTAAGGCTGTTATCGTAGAACTGCAGATTTTTTTGTCCGGGTCAAATCGGGTTAAAATTTGTCGAGCCATCAGCTTGCCGCACACTAGCCGATTTTTTGTCGCGGCTAACCGCGTTGAGGGTGGGACAAGAAGTTTTGAGACTTAGCACTGTCAGATATCGCTTGACAAGCCTCGATCTTGTCGCAGACGTGTCTGAATTCACCGCGAACTAGCCGACAAGTGAAGATTGTCTGTCGGCCGACAAACAATCGGCTAGTGTGCGGCGGACTTTGGTTGTAGTCCGTGTAAATCTTCTCCATCCACGTAAACCATCTCTGTTCTTTTACGGTTTATAATGATCTCTTGGGTGTTTCTCTATCTTAGTAAACTATTATTTTCAGGTTTCCTTTAATTTATAGGTTATTTTGAATGTGGCCAAAATGATGTAAAAAAAAAAAACGTAACTGAGCTCCTTTAATATATCTTAGACGAAAACATATGCATTTTATTCTTTTGCGGCATGAAACCGGCTACTAGCTCTTTCATAAACTTCTAACAAACGGTGTACGAATTCTGTTCCTCGACAGCATTCATACTTTATAGCGAAATTTCCCCATTAAACGTTTTTTCATTCCTCGACTGATGAGTCCTCATGGTCAAGAAACATTTTGAAAAAAGTTAAGAACTCATCGACACTTCAGCTGCCAAGTTGACCCCGCGAGAGAAAATTCAATTTGAAATTGTCCACATTTTACCGAGTTAAAACAGACGTTTTCCGTCAGCTCAAAACAAAATAATATACGCTTCAAGCACTTTCACGACATTTTTTATTAACTTTCCCGAGAATGCTTGAGAATTTACATGTAATCGTTGAATCATTTAGAAAAAAAAATAGCATTCAAAAAACGTGCTTTGAGTAGATTTTTAGTAAATAATTTTTGCACTTATTGCTCGAGCTTTAAGCTCTTGAAGAAAGTTGAAACTTCGCCGATTTAAAAACATTCAAATGATACTTTGGGCTTTGTAAAAGCTTACAACAGAAAGATTTCTCACCCTAATATTCCTCGCTGTGAGTCCAAGTTTCTGTACCAATTCGTCTTCGTCCTCTGGCATCAAGTATTGTCTCTGGGCAAACACTTTCTCTAATTCCCATACTTCTATCGGCGAGAATGTGGTTCGCTGCTTTTTCTTTCGCGGGCGCTCGGAACTAGGCTCAGGTCGGGCAGCGTCGTCGCTTTCTCGACCGCTGTCAACGTCAGTGCTCGGGTTATCGGAGTCAACACTCGGTGAGTGGTCGGAGTTTTGTCGGATTTGGTCGTTCGAGCTATGGCAAACTGAAACAGAAAAAATTGTAGGTGATGAGCTCTGGCAAACAAATTTTGAATAGCATACTTTCAATATGAAACTATAGATTGGTAAAGGTTGACTTTTTTTAAGGATAATTAAATTAATCTGCCACAAAACACCTGGGGCCCGTTTCTCGAAGGTCCCGAAAAGGTTTCGCACTCGAAAAGCCATAGCAAAATCTCAAACCTTTTGACTACCGAGCTGTTTTATTGATATAATCTTAATAGAACGGAGATTCTGTTCATGCAAGAAGTCTCAGGCGTATACACCTCTCTGTTTTTAAATACCGATTAACTAAAAATGGCTTTTGGGGCCCGAAAAGATTCCGGCGCTTTCGAGAAACAGGCCCCAGCTCTTTAATTGAAGCCTCAATAATGAATAAATAAACAATGCATTTAAATGCTGCGCTCACTGCATATATACAAACGGTCGTGCACTCTTCGTTTTAAGTTGACTTATCTGAGCGACATGGTTAACATTTTTGTTCACCCGAGTTAAAACTGTAGACCCGTTTCGTCAGTCAGCCTCCAGTCCTTCCCATCTAGCTAAGTCCGAGGCATTTAACACATATCAATCAATCCACCAAACACCGTACGAAACTACAAAACTCTAGCTGATCTACGAGAATCGATTGATGTGTTGTTTCTTAGTGATAATTTCATGATAAATCTATTGATCCACAATACAACTAACAACTGTACTTACCAAGGGGTGGATCCGTCTGACGTTGAATTGAATCATCTTCAAGATCCAAAATCCGGGAAATAGAAAATGACAGTGGCTGACTGGCCTGTGGAGCAGGTGCCAAGCGTGCTCTGATCGAGGGAGGACTGGACGATGAATGACGTAAGGAAATCGCAGGCGATGGATTCAACGGAACATGGGTAAGACTGCCATTACGTGAAGCCATTTTAAAGTAAACTGCTGGTACACAACTAAAGCAGGATAATCTTCGTTTGACTTGATCCAGCAAGTGTTTTGAAAGCAGATTCTTGCTTTTAACCAACACCGACTGTCAATCACACCGATCAAAGGCGGCCGACATTTTCCGCTTTGAAGTGTCAAACGGACCAATCAGCGCTGGTCGTTTTCGGCGGGAAGAAAAAAAAAAAAGAAAAAGAAAACCGAACCGCAGCGCTTCGGAGCCATGCCAGTGACCGTGCACGACTTGGAAGGCGGTAAACGTTCGACAAGTTGTCCTGCTGTCATCTTAAAATTGAGAAAAAAGATGACTGTTTTGTCGGCTCGTCAATCACGTTTCGGTGAGAAATGAAATTTAATTTTACAAAACATTTTTTTTATTAATTACAGCAGGATACTTTTACTTCTGGGAAATTGACTTTCCCCAGGCAGCGTAGTAATTATTTGAAACGTAATGTCAGTTAGAGCGGTGCTTTATTCTGGAATTCACTACTTAAAATGTCAGAAAGATTAAATCAATTGGTGAGTTCAGGAAGCAAATCTACTACTTATTTGAGTGATCGGATTCTCACTCGGCAATCGTGTAAAACAGCATTTGATAGTTATTGATCAACTAATGTAATATTGTGTGATTGTATTTGGATTAGTATACTATCGTTATTACTGAAGATGTTTGGCTGAATTTTAAATAAAACGAATGATGACGAGGAAAGAAGTATAAAACCAAAGATATTAACTAAAAGGGGAAAGCTGGGCCATATATATATATATTTTTATGTTCGGCATGTTTTAGTCTTTAGTCATACTTCCCAAGCTACGCAGTTTTATTTAAAGTTCTTTTTTCTTTCTTTTTCTTTTTCGTTTTTTTTTTTTTTTTTTTTTCAATAAAGCAAACTTGAAACAGATCACATAACAGCCAACGTGTCCATGTATAGAGCAGCCCCACACCGCCTCAGCGGTTATTTTAATGAGCGGCCAGTTGTCGGATCTTGCGCGGACTACTGAAGCTAATATACTGTAAACTTTTAAAGCGGTCATCTTTATTAAGCTTTAACAAGTCCCGACTACCGGTATGTTTTATGGAGCGACACACAAT